TCACACTGTGTACTGGTGGGTGTATCTTACTCTACACTGTGTACTGGTGGGTGTATCTTACTCTACACTGTGTACTGGTGGGTGTATCTTACTCTACACTGTGTACTGGTGGGGGTATCTTACTCTACACTGTGTACTGGTGGATATCTTCTTGAGGTGTACACAGAATACACTGAGGTTACGAGAGGTGTCAAGAGGCCGCCTGGACTAATTACCGCATACCTCATTAACACACACAGACCCAGGTGTAGTGCCACTAATTAGGACACACAGACCCAGGTGTAGTGCCACTAATTAGGACACAGAGGCCCAGGTGTAGTGCCACTAATTAGGACACACAGACCCAGGTGTAGTGCCACTAATTAGGACACTCAGACTCAGGTATAGTGCCATTAATTAGGACACACAGACCCAGGTGTAGTGCCACTAATCAAGACACACAGGTGGCGGCATCTCTCACCTGGAGCCCCGGCGGGAGGGGGTTGCCGGGGGGGAGGAGAAGAAAAAACTTCTCAAGTCTGTAAACTGGCGCGGCTGGCGGGCGTTGTCCTCCTCCAGTGCTGGCGCTGACCAGGCTTCGTCAGACAGACCGTCCCGCTTTACTCGTCGCTTCTCCACCTGCTGCTCCGTCCACATCACCTGCGGGAGAACCACATGAAGTGTTAATACAAATAACAAGTACAACACTGGAGCTGTGTTTGTGAAGCACTACTGGTAACAAATATATTTGTATACAAGGAACCTCTTCAGGCTGTAACCTGCAGGTTATCCAGGGATACACACAAAAGATGGCTACACTATTTTACTGTTCTACGCTGGATATTTTTTGTTGCTCAATCCTAACAATACTCCTGGTTTGGGAGGACAGACAGACGGACAGATGGAGAGGTACAAATCAATACCCCCCCTCCCCCCCCCACACACACACCTCCCTTGCATAAACAGTCAGGGGGGGGGGAGGGGGATAAATACACGAATGAATAATTACACTAATGGGTTCACCCAAACGTTGACCAAAACATTGTTCCAGCTCACACGTCATCAAACACTTATAGCCATATCTTCTATCTCAAAATGGACGCAATATATTTTTTTCTTTAAGCTTTACAACATCCACACACACACAGGCGTACATAAACACACGTACATACAGACACACACACACACGTTAACACACACTCACCCACACGTAAACACACACACACACACACGTACATAAACATACGTACATACAGACACACACACACACTCACCCACACGTAACACACACACACACACACACACATAAACATACGTACATACAGACACACACACTCACCCACACGTAAACACACACACACACACACACACACACACGTACATAGACACACACACACACACGTTAACACACACTCACCCACACGTAAACACACACACACACACACACACACACACACACGCGCGCACATAAACACACGTACATACAGACACACACACACACACACTCACCCACACGTAAACACACACACACACCTCACATATAACCCCCCCCACACACACACACACCCACACAGCCCAGATAAGGAAGGATAAAGCCTCACTCAACGCCAGCTTACGAGGTTGGCCATGAGAGGGTGGAAGAGCGGCCACAGTTGCTTGATAAAAGAACCAGACCGTCATTACCGCCATAAAACTACGACCACGACGGCAAGTGACGGTAAAGTTTGGGCCGTAGTCTGTTTGGGCGTGTAGGCGAGGCGCTCTTATCCCCCCACCCCTCACCAGCCCATCGCAGTGGACTGAAGAAAAAGCAAACGCCAAATAACCTGGCAATATCCACGTGTCTGAAGAGATCTCTATGGTATAAAGATAACCAGACGGTAGACACTCGAGAGCTACAGAAGGAGGAAGGTTTTACTCTCTAGCTCCTGAACTCAATACACCATGATGGGGTTGTGGGACGTGTGGTGTGGTTTTGGTCCCCTTCGTCTTGCCAGGGACTTGAACTTGTGATCTTCAAGTCCAAGTCTAGACCACTAAGTCAAGACCAAGAGGAGGCAATTTAGAAAAGTCCCTCTTAAGGCAGACGTGGGGAGGCGGGAACTTCTACAAGCACTGGATCAATGTAAACAGAGTCGAGGGAACTTCTAGGGCGCCTCCAGCAGTCAGCCGCTTTGCCTAACTCCACCCTCTTTTGGCTCACTCAAAGACCGTTACAAATTCGTAGACGTTGATTGGTTGCTGGTTGTCAAGACATAAATATCCGTGACTGGCGGTGTGGTTCACTCAGCCGCCAACAACCAATCAACTTCTGCGAATTTGTAACAGTTGCTAAGTAACCAAAAGAGGGCGGGGCTTTGTCGATTGAATAACAATAATCTTTACACCTAAATCTATCTACGCAAAAATGGTGTCCACACGTCTGGCAGTAACAGCAAATCTAATTATGTTCTAAATTCAAATACAATTGTGTGTATATTCCGAACAGTAACAAGAAAGAAGTCAAGGGCTTGGTGTAAAAGACAACGAAAATCCCACGTAATCTACATGAAAATTTAAACAGTTATGTAACCTCAAACGTTATCAGTATAGCATTTGTGAAGCATCCTGTAGGAGGGAGGAACCACGGCCGTGAGACTGCGGCAATAAGAGACCTGAAACCCACACAACACATGAGGGATTCTGAAGGAGTTTACTGTGTGCCTGAAGGGGATGTTAAAGGGCGCTGGAGACTCACAAGACTAGTGAAGCTTCAAAGATTTATCAATAAATATCCATAAAAACCACAAGCAATAATACCTGTCTCTGGTGAGGGAGTAACACACATCAACAAAAACCATCCAACTTCTCCTAAATCTTAGTAAAAAAAAATGGACCAAAATGAGCTAATATTTTTGTGGTGTGACTTCAATGATGCCAAAGTAAATATTATACATTACCACCCTGATATGACTTCAATGGTCGTCTAGTGCATTACTCATTTGACCATCACCTGAATAGCTCTTCCAAAGGGGTAAGTCAGTTTAAGTACCTAATAAATACTTCTTACTTAAAGCTAGATGATAACTTTGTAGTAAATTTTCGAACTCTAATGATTCACACTTCAAAATCTTAGTAGGTCATGTTAGGCCATCGAAACAACTCCATAAACTTCCAATGCTCCAAAAAAATTAAATGAATGTCTCTCATAACCTTGGCGACATTATCCACCAATTAATAGCATCACACACCTGGCGTCGTAAGCAGTTATGTGACGCCGTGTTCTTTAATAATAAATTCTTTATCTAAAAATCATCACACGTAAAACTTTTAATAAAACACAAATTGGTCACAAAATGTCATTAAATTTAAAATAAAAATATAAAAAACTAAATAAAATACTCGAGTCTAGTCATTAAAAACACTATGAAGAAACCCGACCATGAGTCCACAGCAACACACACACACACACACACACACACTTGGCTCCTTAAGTGCATTTCCCCGCTTGTAATCCTACGTACAGGGGCAAATCATCAACACCTCCCCCAGCATATCCACCCACCAGAGACAATAACTAGGCAGGGTTTGGTGGGGCGAGCCATGACGTGCATGTAGAAAATACCCGCCACCAAACTCTGGGATTTATGCTTCAACACCTCCCCTGGGCGGCCAGTGGTCGTGTTGTGGTGACGGCAACACACTAACGCTTCAACCCGGGAATGAAATAACAGTTTTCTCTGCTTGTGGACTTTCTGCTTCCCCGGCCACACTCTCACCTTCACACTAAGTATTTTATTTTGACTACATCACCGAGAAGATGTTCCCGATGCATACGTTGGTGCTTAAAAAACACCTGTCAGTGTGTTGCAGGTGTTATTTACAAGACACCTGTCCGAGTGTTGCAGATGTTAGGTACAAGACACCTGTTCGAGTGTTGCAGGTGTTAGGAACAAGACACCTGTCCGAGTGTTGCAGGTGTTAGGAACAAGACACCTGTCCGAGTGTTGCATCGTGGCTGACATAGCAGCGCCATACTCTGCCTGGTACAGTACCTCAGGACCATCCCCCAGGCGACTACCGCGTCTGGGTATGAGAGAGAGAGAGACGTCACTATAGGACTAACGCTCTGTCTTCCCGCTGCATAACTCTTACTTTCTCTTTCGTCTTGGTCTAGTGCAGCCTGGGAAAAAAATTGCTTAAAAATCAAAACGTAAATATTCTTCCCTCAAAGCAGGATTGAGACAATGCATCCACTTAAGGAAACAGACCCAGTGTGCAATGACAACGCCATTCTGTGCCTCAGCTAAGATGAACCATTTGGACGAACCTCAAAGACTCCGAACCCTGAGATATGAATCGCCATACCACACTCTTGCCATCTCTGTGAGTCGACAAAGCTTCACCATGACAAATATCAATGGCTGCATCTCTTCTTGCTCCCTGCTGGTAAGATTAACCTCAAGGCTGCCTCTTAAAGCGACGTGACTGCAAAGACGAGCACCACTAATGGAGGTTCATCACGTGTTATCTCTCAGTCATCCATCAACATACGACAGGTGAGGGAAGAAACAAGGGTGTGAGGAAAGACAGCTGAGGCAGAGGGGAGGGAAGAAGGGAGGGAGGTATGACAGGAGGGAGAGAAGAAGGGAGGGTAAGTGTTGGTAGGGCGAAAGTATCAACCAAACGTGGCCACCAAAGACGGGGGTGAAGTATAGAAACATTGTGCAGGTGATGGCAGTAAAGTGTCTCTTTCCAATTTGTTCTCCAAGTCTCTGTCTACCTGAAGCCGATGAGCAGGCAGTAGTGTGGAGGCTAAATAAGGATGGCACATTAACCCTTAGTTCCTTCATCATCATCATTTACTTTCCTCGTCACAAATGACAAGTTGAAGACGTCTGTCCTTTTTTTTTTCTTCCGTGGGAGGCCTGACTGAGGTACGAGTGTCAGTGTTCTTGACGGAGGAGAATATTCTGCAGTGTGGCGCGCGCCGTCTGCCAGGGAAGACATCAAACACCCATTTGTGGCGCGGAGGTCAGGGATGGTGCCCACCACCACAACAATGACAAACTTCTACGTGAGGGAAGTTACAACAGCAGTTGTTTGGGTTAAATCCGTGAGTAAATTGTCAACTCGGCTGTCGAGTAATTTGTGTGAATACAACCTAGACGTTGTCGACACAGGTGACCAATATACTAATTTTTCGTTTCACAAGCTGCTGCTAACAAGTGCCAGTCACACCAGGGTAATACCTGCCACACGTTCACGAGGTATTACGAGGCAATTTCCATGTAAAGTCTCCGTGTTAAGGATGGTAACGTTATTAGTGTTAGACAGAGAAGAATTTTAACAGTGTTAACCATCCAATGCTGGTGGCTGGGGGCAGTAGTGTCTCGGCCTCACACGCTGCTTTGATGTACACTCCTCGTAAAGTGAAGGAGTAAATTTACAGGAGAGCGGGGCATCACCACACAGAGAGACGCACACGACAAAGAGATGATTACAATATGCCTGGCGTACAGCTCCCCGGGGAAGATGAGGAAATTCAACACACATTAATGTTTGGCAATATTCAGTACATCTGTCTAGTGTATAAAGTATGCAGCACGAGTGGGGGGGGGAGGGGTCACAAGTAGGAGGAGGAGACGCAGAGTCCCTGCATGAGTGGGCGACAAGGTGGAA